GTCTGACCCGTCCTTAAACGAACGTGACATCCACATAAAACGTACAAATACATGACAAAGTACAGAACAGTTATAGACAAGAACAATATAAGATATTACATTACATTTAAAATAAAAAATACAAATAAGAGTTATATATTGGAAAGACACCAAGAGACAACAAAACTACTATTTACACACTATTCATATATATACATATTCATATTCTTATATACAGTACAGTTAAATTAGATCTTTAGACAGAGGAGAGGCACTGTGATACAAGAGGTTTTTTATCGTTTTTTTTTAAACTTGCTTTTTGCCTGAGTAACCTCTGGTGGCAGAGCATTCCAAGATGACATGGCTCTATACATAACTGAGCGACGCATTAAATCTGTTTTTGGTTTGGGTACCGTGAAGAAACCCATAGTGGCGTGTCTGGTGGGGTATGTATGTCTGTTTGAAGTGTATGCAAATAGATTATACAAGTAGTTAGGCATTTTCAACAAACACATGTTTCTTAAAAAGACTAGAAGAGAAGTAGTCAATTTCTCCTCAACCCTAAACCATGAAAGACTATCATGCATGTTGTTGATGTTAGTTCTGTGTGTGCAGTTAAGGGCAAGGCATATTGCTTTGTTTTGAGCCAAATGCAGCTTTGCTAGGTCTTTCTTTGCTGCACCTGACCATATTACCAGACAGTAATCAAGATGGGACAAGAAGACCACAGCCTGAATAACTAGTACAGTAGATTTTTGTGTCAAAAATGCAGAACATCTTTTTATAACAGACATACCCCTCCCCATCTTCAAAACAACTTTGTCAATATGACTTGACCATGATAACTGACCATCTAATGTTCTTCCTAGGAGTTCAACTTCTTCAACTTGTTTGTCACACCCTTTATGCACAACAGTTGAGGTTTAGGTCTAAGAGAATGCTTTGAATCAAATACAATGCCTTTGGTTTTAGATTTATTTAAGACCAGTTTATTGTTAATTACCCATTCTGACACTGACTGTAACTCCTTGCTAAGAAATGCCAGGGCCGATTTCTGGTTCCAGTCCGCCCCTAAGACCAACCTTTCCCTGAGCTCAGTAATGATGAGCTGGAGACTTCTTGCCCATGTATGCATTAATTAAGAGCTAGTCATTCTTCCTCTCGTTCTCCCACTCTCTCAATCATTTTCCAGTCCAATCTCTTTCTCCCTGACTTCCTGTCTCGTTCTCCCCTGCTGGGACTGACCTGTGCATGTGTGATGTGTTGTCAATCACACATTATCTCTGGGGTTCCAACAGCTCCTCCACATTTGGCTCTGAGGCAGGAACATATTTTGGCAACAGATTGTTTCAGGCCACCACGTACCCAGCTCAGAGATCGATAACACTATTTGATTGGAAATGATAATGACACAATCATTTCCTGTGGTGTATCGAACAGCAGACAAGGAACTGATCAAGGTCACAGTTAGTTGTGCCCTGATAGACATCATGCTTACCACTGTCGCTTGTTTAAGCACCGCATGAAAAGCACTTTTCCTCATGCATAATTGAATATGGATAATTGCATAAAGTTGACACACAAGGCACATAATGAATCACATTATGTTCTCAAATTGCTAACGTAGATCAGACACAGTTAGGTAAACGCTGTGATGATGACAAGCACATGCACATCTGAGAGATGTTCTGATGCTTTTCACATTAGATAGTGTAGATCAGGGATCATCAACTAGATTCAGCCGCGGGATGTTTCTTTCTTGAGCGGAGGGTCGGGGGACCGGAACATAATCACAAATAATTTGTAGACTGCAGATTGACTGCAAGAAGCCAAAAACAGATATAACATTTGACTAAAACATAATCATTTCAAACCTTGCTTACATTTTTATATGATCACGTGTCTCTCTATTATGCGTGGGAATACTTGGGAACATATTTCCAAAATTAAAATGACTTGGAGCTGATTTCCTGGTGTTTTTAGTCTTTCATGTAAAAAAAATGTCCTTAGAAAACTTGGGGAGCCCGTGGGCTGCCCGTTGGGGAACCCTGGTGTAGATGTTGCATGTTTTCCCTATAAGCCACTCTTTGGAGCATTTATTGTTTCCTAAGAGTCCACTTCACCTCTCACGTTTTCCTACCATCTCAATTATGTGACATGGTGAAAGCGGCCCTTACGGAGCAATGTGAAGAAACAGGGAACATTGGTATTGCTGTGCCATAATCATGGTGCTGTGGTGTTTATGAACAGACCAGATGATTACAGCCTCTCCTGCCACAGGCCATTACTTTCTTTAGAAACGTTTAGGGTGTTCGCCCTGATGCATTCTAATTGGCTCGATCTGTTAAGTCTAATCTTCAGAATGACCTTTGGATGAAAACATTGAATGCATGTATGATGTGTTAAACTGTACTGCTATCTCTTAATATCTGGAATATTTCATTTAATTTTTTGTAGAAACAAAAAAAATCATTATAGATACATGACTGAGCAACCGCAGTAAACTACTCTAAGACTCCATAAACATTTTTTATGAGGGATACTTGGGTAGCTGAAGTTGCATTGCAATCACACAGCATGGTTTTAAGAGAGTTGGCTTAATGACTTGTAACTATAGCAACACAATAACAGACGCTCATGGATGCGGCCTATTAAGGATGCAAATTGTCTTAACACGTATTCCCTCCCTGAATATGAGTTGATCATATTGTGACAAAGAGCGAAATGAAGACCGGTTTGGTGGGAGAGAAGATGGAGTACTATTGTGAGAGCACATTATATTGTTACCAGAGTGCATTCAATGAGTTTCCCTGAAGGACACTTTTCGTTTTACTGGAGACTCAATAGTTTTAATTCTCAGTTAACCTCCCTAAAACCCACCTTTGTTTCTTATTTTCCTGCAAGAGGACTTATTTGGCGTGCGTCCCCTTGAGCAAGGGCACGATGATGGATGCAGAATCCTAGCATTCACCCTCAAACACCAACAGGAAAAATAACTCCACCTAATTTATTCGTTTGGAGGACCATTTACTGTACAGGTTTCCTTCCCAGGATTTTGGATCCAAGTGTTATTTTTCTTCCCTCGTAACAGAAAATATAATTTGGTAGCTGAAATAGGGACCAATTTCAGCCGAAGAAATAAGAGTTGCAACAGAGAGAGAGTACTTTACTGGTCTAGCCAAATAGGCCACAGAGAGAAGGAGAGAGGTTTGTACTTCTTGATAATAAACCTAAATGTGACAACTCTTTGCCTGGCTTAATGCATGGAAGACTAGATCAGAGCAGAGTAGAGCAGAGCTTATCCAGCTCCAGAGAAGCCCGAAGTCCACCTACTATACTCCATCTGGATCAGGAAGGGACCTGTTTCAATAAAACACTAAACTGTTAGCTTGTATAGATGGATGCTATATAATCAAGCAAAAATAACTAAAGGAGACTGAAAATGATCATGCTTGGACGATAAGGTTCTTTTAAAAGCTTTATTCTGGGCCAGTGTAGTACTAGCTAGCGTGTTGATACCACAGGTGTCCAGAGTTTTTCAGCACAGTAGATTATGAAATGAGAGCAGAGCTTGTTGGGATCAAGACAGCCCCCCAGACTAGCTCTGCCATCTTCGTCAAGCAGTGTTCTACACAGTACCTGGGACAGATTAGACTGCCCTCAATTTCATTACACCAGGCCTGTCAACCCCAGCCCACCAGAGAACACGAAAATACACCATGACAGTGCAGACGCAGGAACAAATGAGCCGGAGCTACGCAAACCTCCAGAGACACAGACAGATACAGGGGAGGAGAGAGGGAGGAGACAGAGAGAGGTGGATACAGGAGAGGAGAGGGGGAGGAGACAGAGAGAGGTGGATACAGGAGAGGAGAGGGGGAGGACGGAGAGAGAGAGGGGAACAGGAGAGGAGAGGGGGAGGAGACAGAGAGAGGTGGATACAGGAGAGGAGAGGGGGAGGACGGAGAGAGAGAGGGGAACAGGAGAGAGAGACAGAGGAGAGAGGGAAGGGAGAGGAGAGAAAAGGATACATGAGAGGAAAGAGGGAGGAGAGAGGAGAAATAGGGATACAGGAGAGGAGATATAGAGGGATACAGGAGAGGAGATATAGAGGGATACAGGAGAGGAGATATAGGGGGATATAGGGGAGGAGAGAGGAGAAAGAGGGATACAGGAGAGGAGATATAGAGGGATACAGGAGAGGAGATATAGAGGGATACAGGAGAGGAGATATAGAGGGATACAGGAGAGGAGATATAGAGGGATACAAGAGAGGAGAGAGGGAGAAGAGAGGAGAAAGAGGGATACAGTAGAGGAGATATAGAGGGATACAGGAGAGGAGATATAGAGGGATACAGGAGAGGAGATATACACTTTACACTTTAGTCATTTAGCAGAAATGCTCTTATCCAGAGCGACTTCAAGTTAGTGAGTACATACATTTTTCATACTGGATATAGAGGGATACAGGAGAGGAGATATAGAGGGATACAGGAGAGGAGATATAGAGGGAGGGATACAGGAGAGGAGATATAGAGGGATACAGGAGAGGAGAGAGGGAGGAGAGAGGGAGGAGAGAGGAGAAAGAGGGATACAGTAGAGGAGAGCGGGAGGAGAGAGGGAGGAGAGAGCGATACAGGAGAGGAGCGAGAGACAGAGAGGTGAGAGATACAGAAGAGGAGAGAGAGAGATACAAGAAAGGATAGAGGGAGAGAAACAGAGAGAGAGAGCAGCACATTCACCTCCTCTCCAGCCGTCACCAACAATCACCCACATTTAAGGGATTGGCCTGAAAGCATGTAAAGTAATTGTTGGACAACATAAGCTGCATTTACACAGGCAGGCTAATTCTGATCTTTTGCCAATAATTGGTCTTTTGACCAATCAGATCAGATCTTTTGTCAATAATTGGGCAAAAGATCAGAATTGGGCTGCCTGTGTAAACACAGCCATAGTTCATTACTGTAAGCATTCTACACTTTCACTGGTATTTGCAAGTTCTTGTTATAAATATCTTCCTCTTACTTGTCATCTGTCGTGACGTTGTAGAAAGTGGAGCAGACATGGCATATTGGGCCCAGTGAGGAGGCAGGAGGACTGGCCCTGAGGGTAGGAGCGGGGGTAGGGGAGTGGGGTGGAGGATTCCTAAGACTGGCTGGGGGTGGCACACAGATGGGTAATTGGACCACTGGATGTGTGAGACACCAAGTTGTGAGCTGCCCTGGGTATAGGTTGTCCTCTAAGAAAAAGGGAAATCATGTAATATGCTGTTAATTAGATCTGTTTCCCAGGCGTTAAACGGTCCTACTTTTTGCTAATTAATAATTATATAATTTCTAGAAATCATTTTGATACACAAAGGATGATTATGATAATGTTAACCTTACTAATTATTGCTTTGTAATTCAACTACGGTTTACACTCCATATAATGTAGCCGATTGCACTCTGATTCCGTCTCACTATTAGTAGATGAGGGCCTGCCTGTGCAGAATGAGCAGGGGCGCTGCATGGCTCGGGTGATTCATCTTACATGCCAAACCCAATTGTGTGTATGATTAAGAGGTATGCGATTCCTCCAGGCCTGCCCCATAACCAATTTCCTGATCTCTAAAATGAATCCATTCCATTCTAAGCAGCTGAAATGTTGTGTCACTGAATGGGAAAGGGATGTCTGAATATGTACAGGTGTAGGATCTTAATTTGATCACCCAGTTGCAAGAGAACTTTCCTGCAATGCAGGACATTTTAAACGTGTAGTGTATTTTAGGTTTAAAAAGGCTTCTAAAGTTTTGTAATCTCCCTTAAGAAAACTGTATCAACCCCTACAAAAATTTATATTAATTATAATCCACATAATAACTCACATTTCCTGTTGCTGCAGGATTACATTCCTGCTGTAGCAAACTGGCTCAAATTAAGATACTACATATGTATCTGCATAAAAAGCCATTCTCCACTTGTTAGGTAACCAATAGGCTCTAGACCAGGGATCATTAACTAGATTCAGCTGTGGGCCAATTTTTTCTTGAGCGGAGGAGGGTCGGGGGGCCGGAACATAATTACAAATAATTTGTAGACTGCAGATTTACTGCCCAAACAGATATAATATTTGACTAAAACATAATCTTTCTATACTGAACAAAAATATAAACGCAACATGCAACAATTTCAAAGATTTTACTGAGTTACAGTTTATACACTGCTCAAAATAATAAAGGGAACACTAAAATAACACATCCTAGATCTGAATTAATGAAATAATTTTATTAAATACTTTTTTCTTTACATAGTTGAATGTGCTGACAACAAAATCACACAAAAATTATCAATGGAAATCAAATGTATCAACCCATGGAGGCCTGGATTTGGAGTCACACTCAAAATTAAAGTGGAAAACCACACTACAGGCTGATCCAACTTTGATGTAATGTCCTTAAAACAAGTCAAAATTAGGCTCATTAGTGTGTGTGGCCTCCACGTGCCTGTATGACCTCCCTACAACGCCTGGGCATGCTCCTGATGAGGTGGCGGATGGTCTCCTGAGGGATCTCCTCCCAGACCTGGACTAAAGCATCTGCCAACTTCTGGACAGTCTGTGGTGCAACGTGGTGTTGGTGGATGGAGCGAGACATGTCCCAGATGTGCTCAATTGGATTCAGGTCTGGGGAACGGGCGGGCCAGTCCATAGCATCAATGCCTTCCTCTTGCAGGAACTGCTGACACACTCCAGCCACATGAGGTCTAGCATTGTCTTGCATTAGGAGGAACCCAGGGCCAACCGCACCAGCATATGGTCTTACAAGGGGTCTGAGGATCTCATCTCGGTACTTAATGGCAGTCAGGCTACCTCTGGCGAGCACATGGAGGGCTGTGCGGCCCCCCAAAGAAATGCCACCCCACACCATGACTGACCCACCGCCAAACCGGTCATGCTGGAGGATGTTGCAGGCAGCAGAACGTTCTCCACGGCGTCTCCAGACTCTGTCACATCTGTCACATGTGCTCAGTGTGAACCTGCTTTCATCTGTGAAGAGCACAGGGCGCCAGTGGCGAATTTGCCAATCTTGGTGTTCTCTGGCAAATGCCAAACGTCCTGCACGGTGTTGGGCTGTAAGCACAACCCCCACCTGTGGACGTCGAGCCCTCATACCACCCTCATGGAGTCTGTTTCTGACTGTTTGAGCAGACACATGCACATTTGTATCCTGCTGGAGGTCATTTTGCAGGGCTCTGGCAGCGCTCCTCCTGCTCCTCCTTGCACAAAGGCGGAGGTAGCGGTCCTGCTGCTGGGTTGTTGCCCTCCTACGGCCTCCTCCACGTCTCCTGATGTACTGGCCTGTCTCCTGGTAGCGCCTCCATGCTCTGGGCACTACGCTGACAGACACAGCAAACCTTCTTGCCACAGCTCGCATTGATGTGCCATCCTGGATGAGCTGCACTACCTGAGCCACTTATGTGGGTTGTAGACTCCGTCTCATGCTACCACTAGAGTGAAAGCACCGCCAGCAAAAGTGACCAAAAAATCAGCCAGGAAGCATAGGAACTGAGAAGTGGTCTGTGGTCACCACCTGCAGAACCACTCCTTTATTGGGGGTGTCTTGCTAATTGCCTATAATTTCCACCTGTTGTCTATTCCATTTGCACAACAGCATGTGACATTTATTGTCAATCAGTGTTGCTTCCTAAGTGGACAGTTTGATTTCACAGAAGTGTGATTGACTTGGAGTTACATTGTGTTGTTTAAGTGTTCCCTTTATTTTTTTGAGCAGTGTATAAGGAAATCAGTCAATTAAAACAAATTCATTAGGCCCTAATCTAGGGATTTCACATGACTGGGAATACAGATATGCATCTGTTGGTAAAGGATACCATTTAAAAAAAAGTAGGGGGCGTGAATCAGAAAACCAGTCAGTATCTGGTGTGACCACCATTTGCCTCATGCAGCGCGACACATATCCTTCGCATAGAGTTGATCAGGCTGCTGATTGTGGCCTGTGGAATGTTGTTGCACTCCACTTCAATGGCTGTGCGAAGTTGATCCAGAGCATCCACATCAATCCAGAGCATCCCAAACGTGCTCAATCGGTGACATGTCTGGTGAGTATGCAGGCCATAGAAGAACTGGGACATTTTCCGCTTCCAGGAATTGTGTACAGATCCTTGCGACATGGGGCCGTGCATTATCATGAGGTGATGGCGGCGGATGAATGGCACGACAATGGACCTCAGGATCTCGTCACGGTATCTCTGTGCATTCAAATTGCCATCGATAAAATGATAAAATGCAATTGTGTTCATTGTCCACCGCCACCATGGGGCACTCTGCTCACAATGTTGACATCATCACACCGTTCGCACACACGACGCCATACACGTGGTCTGCAGTTGTGAGGCCGGTTGGACGTACTGCCAAATTCTCTAAAATGACGTTGGAGGCTTATCGTAGAGAAATGAACATTCAATTCTCTGGCAACAGCTCTGGTGGACATTCCTGCAGTCTGCATGCCAATTGCATGCTCCCTAAAAATGTGAGACATCTGTGGCATTATGTTGTGTGACAAAACTGCACATTTTAGAGAGGCCTTTTATTGTCCCCAGCACAAGGTGCACATGTTTAATGACCATGCTGTTTAATCAGCTTCTTGATATGCCACACCTGTCAGGTGGATGGATTATCTTGACAAAGGAGAAATGCTCACTAACAGGGATGTAAACAAATATGAGCACAACATTTGAAAGAAATAAGCTTTTTGTGCACATGAAAGATTTCTGGGATCTTTTATTTCAGCTCATGAAACATGGGACCAACACTTTACATGTTGTATGAGTGGGAATACTTGGGAACAGATTTCCTAAATTAAAATCACTTGGAGCTGATTTCCTGGTATTTTTACAGTCTTTCATGTCCAACAATTTTTGCTGAGACAAATTACGGGCCAAATAGAACCACCCGCAGGCCGCCAGTTGGGGAATCCTGCTCTAGACTGTGTCGTTGAGTCAACATTGTTTTGACCCCGCATCAGTCTCGGTGGTCACTGGGATCAATGTGTCACTTTCTGTTGCATTGTATGTACTTTTCTATACACTAGTCTCATCCACATTCATGGCCTATAACCGATGATGTCATGTTTAGCCAGTCACTCACTATAGGATGGTAGATATATAGTACAACCCAGGGCAAGATGCTTGGATAGTCCAATCAATGTGACCTTACCTTAAAAACTCCTTCTCTAAGTGTGACATAATTACAACAGTTTTGTCTCAAATATAGTATAAATGACACCAACATTTTTTTGGGGTGAATTATTTGATAAGTTATGCTGGTCCTATCGGGGTCACATTCTGAGGATCTGGGCGCCGGATGGTACAGTAATATAACACTCACCATGTCTGTGTCTGACACCGGTCCAAAGCTGGTCACGTAGATATTTGTCCTCACCTCCGTCACACTCTCTGCTTGGACATGAGGAGAAGACAAAAAGGTCGAGTTTAAGTACCTTCATCAAAGAACAGAGGAGTGCTCCATGTAAGATGGTTACCAGTCCTTTCCCTGACCGCCAGGCCATACTGCTGCTCTGTCTACTTCAGGTTGGTTGTTGATGTCAGTTTAGTAAAGTCAGCTCACTTTCCAAACTTCAAATCCAATGACAGAGGCAGGAACATGAATGTTTGATGTCTCACCACTCAACCAAATAAACAAGGCTGAACCTATGGAGGTAGCGAGACTTTGATAGAGGTTGTTTTTAGGGAGAGTGTTTGCATCATTATCACGGTCACAAACTGAGATGAGGAATCACAGGAATAATGAGGGTTGGCAGGACCACATTAAAATCATATTTAGGCCTGTTTACAGGGACTTGTTTGTATTGGTGTCAGATGATGCTATTCACTGTGCATTATCCTAATGCGCTCTATTGTGTATAATCCTTTAACTGGGAGCGCTTCCTATCTGCACAGTCTGGGTAAACAACATTTCCTGTGTAATTGGGTGAAATGTGCATTTTCAGAATAGAGTTAAGGACTGGAGATGAAACACTGAGAGAGACTGCCAACAGTCTGCTGCACATGAGTCATCCTAAATGCGATGACGGAAGTGGGGGGAATCACCTTTTACTATAAGGTTTCCAATTAGAGCCTCACGGCCTTAACTTAGATTTAATCGATTGCAGGATGTAAATGAACGAGGGGCTTTGATGTAAGGCTGTGAGTGGCTGTCTGCCAGTCGTTGCTCCGAGACGGAGTGAAACCGATGGAATGCTTCCAGAACATGCCGCTATGGAATCTAGAGTTCCCTTGGCAACATAACATTGGCCATTAATCAAAATGCACATGCCGAGGGCTTTGGAATACAGAATACATCCAACACATTTGGAGGGAACCTGAGATTTCTCTGTCTGGGAGGTCGGAGAGTCATGGAAAGTGCATACAAGTGAGGGAAAAAAGTATTTCATCCCCTGCTGATTTTGTACGTTTGCCCACTGACAAAGAAATGATCAGTCTATAATTTAATGGTAGGTTTATTTGAACAGTGAGAGACAGAATAACAACAAAAAAATCCAGAAAAACGCATGTCAAAAATGTTATAAATTCATTTGCATTTTAATGAGGGAAATAAGTATTTGACCCCTCTGCAAAACATGACTTAGTACTTGGTGGCAAAACCCTTGTTGGCAATCACAGAGGTCAGACGTTTCTTGTAGTTGGCCACCAGGTTTTCACACCTCTCAGGAGGGATTTTGTCCCACTCCTCTTTGCAGATCTTCTCCAAGTCATTAAGGTTTCGAGGCTGACGTTTGGCAACTCGAACCTTCAGCTCCCTCCACAGATTTTCTATGGGATTAAGGTCTGGAGACTGGCTAGGCCACTCCAGGACCTTAATGTGCTTCTTCTTGAGCCACTCCTTTGTTGCCTTGGCCGTGTGTTTTGGGTCATTGTCATGCTGGAATACACATCCACAACCCATTTTCAATGCCCTGGCTGAGGGAAAGAGGTTCTCACCCAAGATTTGACGGTACATGGCCCCGTCCATCGTCCCTTTGATGCGGTGAAGTTGTCCTGTCCCCTTAACAGAAAAACACCCCCAAAGCATAATGTTTCCACCTCCATGTTTGACGGTGGGGATGGTGTTCTTGGGGTCATAGGCAGCATTCCTCCTCCTCCAAACACGGCGAGTTGAGTTGATGCCAAAGAGCTCCATTTTGGTCTCATCTGACCACAACACTTTCACCCAGTTCTCCTCTGAATCATTCAGATGTTCATTGGCAAACTTCAGACAGCCCTGTATATGTGCTTTCTTGAGCAGGGGGACCTTGCGGGCGCTGCAGGATTTCAGTCCTTCGCGGCGTAGTGTGTTACCAATTGTTTTCTTGGTGACTATGGTCCCAGCTGCCTTGAGATCATTGACAAGATCCTCCCATGTAGTTCTGGGCTGATTCCTCACCGTTCTCATGATCATTGCAACTCCACGAGGTGAGATCTTGCATGGAGCCCCAGGCCAAGGGAGATTGACAGTTATTTTGTGTTTCTTCCATTTGCGAATAATCGCACCAACTGTTGTCACCTTCTCACCAAGCTGCTTGGCGATGGTCTTGTAGCCCATTCCAGCCTTGTGTAGGTCTACAATCTTGTCCCTGACATCCTTGGAGAGTTCTTTGGTCTTGGCCATGGTGGAGAGTTTGGAATCTGATTGATTGATTATTTCTGTGGACAGGTGTCTTTTATACAGGTAACAAACTGAGATTAGGAGCACTCCCTTTAAGAGTGTGCTCCTAATCTCAGCTCGTTACCTGTATAAAAGACACCTGTCCACAGAAGTAATCAATCAATGACATGCGTTTTTCTGGATTTTTTTGTTGTTATTCTGTCTCTCACTGTTCAAATAAACCTACCATTAAAATTATAGACTGATCATTTCTTTGTCAGTGGGCAAACGTACAAAATGAGCAGGGGATCATATACTTTTTTCCCTCACTGTAGGTGGCAAAGCTAGTATGGTGACAGATTTATCATACATCCTAGTGGGTATGGAATAGAGCGGGGGTGCGCAGCACTGTCAGCTTAAAACATCACATGGATTTCATATTCACACTCTCACAGACCTCTAACTGAGAATTCAAAATGACTTATAATAAGCTCCATTTTGAAAAAATCCACAATAAATGTAAAATCATTAGCACATGGTCTTATCACCAACCTGATGATGATGTAGCATTAGCATTAGCTGACGTAGCATTAGATGATGTAGTGTTAGCATTAGCTGATGTAAAATTAGAATTAAATGATGTAGCATTAGCACTTCCTCTGCAGGCAGGGCAGGGCCGTCCCCAGTGGGCAGGAAATCAGAGCTCTGCTGGACCTCTGGCATTTGAAGACTGGGCTTGCAAGCCAAGAAGCTGCTGTTTTGAATAGAGTCCTTGTAGCATTCTGCTGGCGATAAGCATCTCCTTGTGAGGAGGATTAATAATTTCATTGTTCCAAAAAGCAATATGTTCAAGATCTGAAGAGCTGTAGCCTCCTCTCACTATGATCAGGGAAACTGAGCTGTTAATGACACCATTGTATGGCTCTGAAGGATCAATGGAGGGCACGCTGACAAGGGACCCAATTGTTCATGGGGTCACAGCTCCAAATCCATCACTGCATGCCACGGCTAGCTGCCTGGCTTGGTGAGCCTGGGCTGACAATGCGGGGAGGTAGGGAGGAGGGAGGGAGGAGAGGACTCGCAGGTGCTCTCTGTTTCAGTAGAGGCAGTGGACAGCGGCTTCTTTCTAACTAGCTAGATATTAATTGTACTTCACTCCTGATCCTGGGGGACCATATCATGTGTTCAAGCTTTTGTCCCAAGCCAGTACTAACACACCTGATTCAGCTAGTGAAGGTCTTTATGATTTGCTGATTGATTCTTCTAGTTAAAACTAGCTTACTTTAATAGTTTTGGGTAGTAGAGGCAGACAGACATTGCAAAAAGGTAATATGCTAGCTAGCTGATGATCTCTTTGAAGCAATGTATGGCTATATAATGAATGTTTCAAAGACAATTTTATTAAAGTGGTGGATGGCAGACTCAGCAGCTTAGAGAGAATCCTACACATTGTGTGTGGCAAAGCCCAAAAGGCACTATTAGCAGTATGTCTGGCTCTGTTAGAGGTAGGGAGAGGTGGGCAGTGTCTTCGCACAACAAACCAGCCTACCTCCTAGTCCGGGGCGAAGCCGGTTGTCGTAGCCATCCAGTAGTCTGTCCAGGATCCGGGTGAAAATAGTGATGTTGTCTCTACTGTCATCAGGCAACGGCTCTCTGTGCCCAACCACTGCCCTGAAGAGAGAGAGAGAGAGAGAGCGAGAGAGAGAGAGAGAGAGAGAGTGAGAGTTTTTTAAATTGAACACAGCAGACATCTTTGAGTCTTTCCTGTACCAGTGGTTCCTCAGACTCCTCAGATTAGTCATGAGAAATACAGCTCCACCTGAACCTGAACACCACGTGTCTGGCTGTCCACAGTTTCACTCTGCACTCATAATTAATTTCCTGTTTACAACAAACTCAGGCCAGATTATTGGAGGAACCACTGTTGTTTCAAACCACTGAGAGAGCTGAAGGGGTAATTGAACCTCTTTCTAATTCAACCTTCACAGTCATGGCTACCGCAATGATTAAGACACAAACATGTTGGGGTTTAATTTGAGGCGCTGTGTGGCAGCACACCACTCTCAGACATGGAAAGACCGATTGAAGTCCAAAAGGATTAGTGAAGCCTGTCACAGAGCTGCTGCAAACTCTGCCTCAGGATTTCTTCCTCCTTCTTTACACATAATATTGACAGAGTAGGTCCTGAATATGCAGTCAATCTCCACTTCCTTAATTACCTTAAATATGCAGAGCAATTATCTTGTTGTGGCCCTGGCCACCGTTCCTCAGTGAACAATGTGCTGGTGAGACGGAGAGGGCACCATAGATGCAGCACTGATGAGCTAATGAGTGCCATTTTCAATCAAACCGAGACCCCCTGAGGGATTGATCTCTGACCTGTCTCCAGGTGACCCCTATCAACAAGCATGTCTGATGGCCGCTAACAGCTAACACTCATTTACATACAGGCATGCACCACACACAAGCACTCTCACATGAACAAACATACACTACATGACCTAAAGTATGTGGACCCCTCCTCGAAAATCTCATTTCAAAATCATGGGCATTAATATGGAGTTGGTCCCCCCCTTTGCTGCTATAACAACCTCCACTCGTCTGGGACGGCTTTCCACTAGATGTTAGAACATTGCTGCGGGGATTTGCTCCCATTCAGTCACAAGAGCATTAGTGAGGTTGGTCACTGATGTTGGGCGATTAGGCCTGGCTCGCATTCAGTGTTCCAATTCATCCCAAAGGTGTTCGAAGGGGTTGAGGTCAGGGCTTTGTGCAGGCCAGTCAAGTTCTTCCACACCGATTTCAACAAACCATTTCTATTTGGACCTCGCTTTGTGCATTGTCATGCTGAAACAGTAAAGGGCCTTCCCCAAACTCTTGCCACAAAGTTGGAAGCACAGAATCGTCTAGAATGTCATTGTATGCTGTAGCATTAAGATTTCTCTTCACTGGAACTAAGAGGCCTAGCCCAAACCATGATAAACAGCCCCAGACCATTATTCCTCCTCCACCAAACTTTACAGTTGGCATTGTGCATTCGGACAGATAGCGTTCTCCTGGCATCTGCCAAGCCCAGATTCGTCTGTCAGACTGCCAGAGGGTGAAGCATGATTCATCACTCCAGAGAACGCGTTTCTACTGCTCCAGAGTCCAATGGCGGCGAGCTTTACACCACTCCAGCCGACGCTTGGCATTGCGCATGGGGATCTTAGGCTTGTGTGAAGCTGCTCGGCCATGGAAACCCATTTCAAATAAAATAAAATAAAATTGTATTTGCCACATGCGCCGAATACAACAGGTGTAGACATTACAGTGAAATGCTTACTTACAAGCCCTTAACCAACAACGCAAAGTAAAACAAATAAAAAAAAGTGTTAAGCAAAAAAAATAAAAGCAAATAACTAAAGAGCAGCAGTAAAATAAAATAACAGTAGGGAGGCTATATACAGGGGGGTACCGGTGCAGAGTCAATGTGCGGGGGCACCGGCTAGACAAGGTAATTTAGGTAATATGTACATGTGGGTAGAGTTAAAGTGACTATGCATAAATAATAAACAGAGTAGAGCAGAGTAAAAAAGGGGGACGGGGTGGGGGTGGGGGGGCAGTGCAAATTGTCCGGGTAGCCATGATTAGCTGTTCAGGAGTCTTATGGCTTGGGGGTAGAAGCTGTTGAGAAGCCTTTTGGACCTAGACTTGGCGCTCCGGTACCGCTTGCCGTGCGGTAGCAGGGAGAACAGTCTATGACTAGGGTGGCTGGAGTCTTTGACAATTTTGAGGGCCTTCCTCTGACACCGCCTGGTATAAAGGTCCTGGATGGCAGGAAGCTTGGCACCAGTGATGTGCTGGGCCATACGCACTACCCTCTGTAGTGCCATGCGGTAGGAGGCCGAGCAGTTGCCATACCAGGCGGTGATGCAACCAGTCAGGATGCTCTCGATGGTGCAGCTGTATAACTTTTTGAGGATCTGAGGACCCATGCCAAATGTTTTCAGTCTCCTGAGGGGGAATAGGCTTTGTCGTGCCATGATAGTTTGTTGGTGATGTGGACACCAAGGAACTTGAAGCTCTCAACCTGTTTCACTACAGCCCCGTCAATGAGAATGGGGGCGTGCTCAATCCTCTTTTTTTTCCCTGTTGTCCACAATCATCTCCTTTGTCTTGATCATGTTGAGGGAGAGGTTGTTATCCTGGCACCACACGGCCAGGTCTCTGACCTCCTCCCTATAGGCTGTCTCATCATTGCCGGTGATCAGGCCTACCACTGTTGTGTCGTCGGCAAACTTAATGATGGTGTTGGCGTCGTGCCTGGCCATGCAGTCATGGGTGAACAGGGAGTACAGGAGGGGACTGAGCATGCAACCCTGAGGGCCCCCCGTGTTGAGGATCAGCGTGGCAGATGTGTTGTTACCTACCCTTACCCCCTGGGGGCGGCCCGTCAGGAAGTCCAGGATCCAGTTGCAGAGGGAGGTGTTTAGTACCAGGATCCTTAGCTTAGTGATGAGCTTTGAGGGCACTATGGTGTTGAACGCTGAGCTGTAGTCAATGAATAACATTATCACGTAGGTGTTCCTCTTGTCCAGGTGGGAAAGGGCAGTGTGGAGTGCAATAGAGATTGCATCATCTGTGGATCTGTTGGGGCGGTATGCAAATTGGAGTGGGTCTAGGGTTTCTGGGATAATGGTGTTGATGTGAGCCATGACCAGCCTTTCAAAGTACTTCATGGCTACAGACGTGAGTGCTACGGGTCGGTAGTAATTTAGGCAGGTTATCTTAGTGTCATTGGGCACAGGGACTATGGTGGTCTGCTTGAAACATGTTGGTATTACAGACTCAGTCAGGGACATGTTGAAAATGTCAGTGAAGACACTTGCCATTTGGTCAGCACATGCTCGGAGTACACGTCCTGGTAATCCGTCTGGCCCTGCGGCCTTGTGAATGTTGACCTGCTTAAAAGTCTTTTAAAAAAATTTTTTTTTATATATATTCCCCTTTATTACTTTTCAACCCCACCATCCTTTCCCTACTTGGAGTAAATTAGTGTACAACAACGCCCAAATGCTTAAAAGTCTTACTCACTTCGGCTACGGAGAGCGTGATCACATAGTCATCCGGAACAGCTGGTGCTCTCATGCATGCTTCAGTGTTGCTTGCCTCGAAGCGAGCATAGAAGTGATTTAGCTCGTCTGGTAGGCTTGTGTCACTGGGCAGCTCGCGGCTGTGCTTCCCTTTGTAGTCTGTAATAGTTTTCAAGCCCTGCCACATCCGACGAGCGTCAGAGCCAGTGTAGTACGATTCAATCTTAGTCCTGTATTGACTCTTTGCCTGTTTGATGGTTCGTCGGAGGGCATAGCGGTATTTCTTATAAGCGTCCGGGTTAGAGTCCCGCTCCTTGAAAGCGGCAGCTCTAGCCTTTAGCTCAGTGCGGATGTTGCCTGTAATCCATGGCTTCTGGTTGGGGTATGTACGTACGGTCACTGTGGGGACGACGTCATCGATGCACTTATTGATGAAGCCAGTGACTGATGTGGTGTACTCCTCAATGCTATCTGAAGAATCCCGGAACATATTCCAGTCTGTGCTAGCAAAACAGTCCTGTAGCTTAGCATCTGCGTCATCTGAAGCTCCTGAGGAACAGTTATTGTGCTGACGTTGCTTCCAGAGGCAGTTTTGGAACTTGGTAGTGAGGGTTGCAACCGAGGACAGACGATTAGGAGGTCCCATTCTGTGAGCTTGTGTGACCTACCACTTCGCGGCTGAGCCGTTGTTGCTCCTAGACGTTTCTACTTCACAATAACAGCACTTACAGTTGACCGGGGCAGCTCTAGCAGGGCAGAAATTTGACAAACTGACTGGAAAGGTGGCATCTTATGACGGTGCCACGTTGAAAGTCACTGAGCTCTTCAGTAAGGCCATTCTACTGCCAATTTTTGTCTATGGAGATTGCATGGCTATGTGCTCGATTTTATACACCTGTCAGCAACGGGTGTGGCTGAAATAGCCAAATCCACTCATTTGAAGGGGTGTCCACATACTTTTGTATATATAGTGTACATACATCCTTATATGGGCAGGTCGCTGTGCACTCAAACACATTATACAGGTACGTCTACCCTTTACATAGTACACTATGGGGATAAACAAGCACAAGCCCTCAACTGGCAGACAGACTAGGAATTGTGTTGGTTCAAGGGATGGGTACATTAGCTGTCCCTCTGAAATCTCCTTGTCAGTATACCAGTACTAACAGCACTGTTAAGACAATGTCCAAAAGGAAAAGGAAACTTCAATGATGACAGCAGGACAGACAGAATTGAAACAAGAACATCACTTTTGTACGTGTGTGTGTGTGTGTGTGTGTGTGTGTGTGTCCGTGCCTTTGTGCGTGTGGCACCTTGACGTATAAACTACTATTTGTGTTTCATATCCAATCATCTCAGACGCCAGTCAAAGCCAAAAGGGCCTCTGCTGAAAATGAAACAGGTCTGATTGATAAACACAGCAGAGCAACGTAAAGGAGTGAGATAGAGAGAGAGAGGGAGGAGAGGGAGAGAAATATGGTGAGAGAGAGAGAGACAGAGACAGGGTGGAGAAAGGATAGAAAAAGAGCTGCACTGTGGGTAACTCCACCGACATCTAATCCAATTCCTTGAGCTTAAAGAGAGGCTACTTA